GCTTGAGGGGGAGTGTAGAGAAGATGGGCCAAATGGCCCATAGGATGTTTATCCTTTCTTATTTTTTATGTTCTTTACTGTAATGGGCCTTATTTCTAGGCCTATTCTTTCTATGTTATGTTCTTTTAATTTCTTGCCCAACTAAGGGCCTCTTTGTAAATTATTAAAGTTTAACTTAATAAAATAGTGCTAGGGGGTAAGAGTAGAGATTAAGGTTCGAAACTCTCTTCCTCTGAACCCTTATTGCCGCCATCTTCTTCTTCATCTTCTCTTCCTTAGAAGAAGGATTTCTACTATTTTTCTTCTATGTACACCAATATTTTAAAACGCGGAGGCTTGACGTGAGGCATTCCACTACCTAGAGGCGTGAGGCATAGTTCAAAACGCAAGAAGCGTAAGCCTCCCAAACACGAGGCATAAGCCTCCTTAAGAGGAGGGGGGTTAGGAGGAGGATGACGAGGAAGGGGATCTCATTTTTTCTTTATTTTTAATAAAAATCTTTTATATTAAGAAGAATAAAAATGCATAACATTAGTTGTAAGGGGGGATCTCATGTTTTAACATTAGTTAAAACATGGGTGATCAGAAAAATAAAGATGCATAACTCCTCAGGGCGATTTGGGAGCACCTCACCTGGAGGCGCGCCTCCAAGCGTACGCCTCCCATGCCTTTTAAAACACTGATGTAAACACTAGGGGGCAATTCAGGTTTTCCCCCTATCTTTAAATTATCAATATAAATAGCTGTGGGGTGACAATGAAACTGATCACCCACAATTCTTTTGACTTCTCTTCTTCTCTCCTTCTTCCTCTCTTATTCTCAAACATTTTTTCTTGTTTTTTGTGAATTATATCTAGGATTAATTACAGTCCTACTTGACAACTCATTCTCCCATTTCTCTTTGTTTTTTCTTTCTCTTATCCTTTTCTGTTTTCTTTTGATTTATTAATTCAGAAATATTATTTCTTGCCGGTTGCACTCAACAAGTATTAGATGCATAGAAGACCACCTACAACACCCATAAGAAGTAGTCTGTTGCAAGTTCAAGGGGCTAGAAGGGAGAGGGACAGACCAACAGGGACATGGATTTACATAGTAAGAAACGATTTGAGCACTCATAATTGAGAATGTAATTCAGACAAGGCTTTGATGATGATTTGGGAAGAAAGAAACGCCATGATTTCTTAAAGACAATATTCAAAGAAAAGAAGCAATAACTAAGAATGTAGTCATTAGAGTGGTACAGTGACTCAAACTCATGGATGCGTTTTCTTCGCTATCCGCTAATGACATCATAAGAGACTAGCAGTTTGTGGAAAATTCTTCCTTGATAAGTAGGGTTGAACACAAATTGAACTTTTCACGAGCTATTCGAGCTTTGCTCATGAAAAGCTCGATTCGGCTTAGTTTAAACTGAGCTTCAAACCAAGCTCGAGCCTAAATGAAGCTCAGCTCACGAGCCTAAAAGTAACTTTTATATGTATCTTTTTTTATAGAAAGCTTGGCTAATAACCAAGCTCGAAGGTACAAGCTTCTGAGTCAAACCGAATTTGAGCTCAAGTCTCTAGCTCGAATCGAACTCGATCTCGAGCCTCATGCTTTTTTTGGAAAGCTGAACTTGAATAGCCAGATATTCGGCTCGGCTCTGTTCGAATCCACCTAATAAGAAGATCCCTTGAACTTTTTGGTCTTGCTTAGTTATAAAATCGTCAAACTGGACTCTGATAGTTGTAGTTTTGAAATCCCCAAAGAGTTTAGAATCAGGGGGTGTTTAGGAACCACAGAAGAGACATAGTAGCACAGTTTTAATGACCAATAGTTGTTGGTGACTACTCGGGCAGTATTATTGGCAGTATTTCAAAGCATAAAATTAGCTAGATCACTAAAGTTCGGAGTACTAGCAGTGAAGGGGATTCTCATACTAAATGGGTTGGTTAAAATATCCTAGGAAGCATAGAAACATAATGAGAGTTGAACAGCTGGCTGGAATTTTGGGTGCATGTATAATTGGGATCCATGGTATGCTAATACTATGATTGCTGCAATAGCAAGACAAGGAGTCAATAGATATCAATTGTAGTGGGGAATGATTCCCCAAGGTAGGGACATGTAAAGTAGAATAGAATAGTTTTCTCAAAAAAGTATATTTTGAGGGGAGCCTAGTGGGAGGCAAGGCCTTATATTGAGGTGCTTGCCACAAGATTGTTGTACAGATCATTCTTTATTATATATATATATATATATAACCAAAGAAAACACCATTATGGATAAAAAGAGAATAGGAATTATCCTTGTAATGGTCATACCTGGCATTTTGCTGAAAGTAAAACATGTTCATCCGGAAGAACACCCTTTACATCAGTGCCACCATGCCAATGTAATAGCTGCATACAATAGTGGAGAAGGAATGAGAAATTTATATATAGATGAAACTTCACCCTAAACATTTGTAACATGCCAGTCAATTGTTGACATAGGTGCCAACAGAAATTGGACTTCTAGATAAATATATTTTTCATTACTTAGAAGTTGTGTTCAAAGACATACATTCAGTGTATTTTTTCAACTTGTTAATTTTGTGCTTCCATGAATTTTTCTTTTCAACTTTGGAACAAAGTGCACCTACAACATGTGTACATGGAGATATAAAGGTTTTCCCTCTTTTTTAGCATGGTTCAAAGTTTTGGGAAAAAACTGAGGAAGCTAGGAAAATTATAAAATATTAGAAAAGATTATTGAACTTCTTTATAAAACTTCAGGAAATGTTAAAATAAAGGAAAAATAACAACACACCATGTACCATAAATGATGACAGATTAGGAATCTTAAATAGGCATCAATTTTAATATACAATTATTGTCATCCAAGGTGAACATCCTTAAAAACCATATATAAGTCTTATCCTAATCTCTAACTCAATTTTGTAGCTCTTCGAGATAATCTCAATCAATTGTGATGCTATATTAATTATTACTATGATACATATTATTGTATAATTATTACAAAGAGTTTGTAAGAGAGTTTACATTTTAAAAAAAATAATTAAATGTGTTGATTTAGAGGCCTACAATTAATAAGAGAAACACCTTTTTCTTAACATTATGCCAAAACATGGTTTGAGCATTTTCTCTCACAAATGTTCCCACTGTTTGGAAAAACTAGGAAACTTTTCTCAATATTTGAACATATCAACATAATAAATTGAAAATTTTGTTAATATATTAAAACTTTTTAAAATATTGGGAACATATTGAGGGACATTTGGGAATATTTATTCCAGGATAGTTTTGCTCATCCCCTTGGGGAAATGGAGAAATTTCTGGGTTCACCATTTTACTTTTCATTTAGGTGAAGTTTCTTTTTCATGGGTGGGATGGCTAGGAGAGAGAAATTTTGAGAGTAAGGCTTTTCTGATAAAGTTCTTGGTGGCAGGTTTGATGGCACGAAGGCTAGTGTGGTTGAAGGATGGGTCAAGAGGTTGGCTGTGCTGTAGCAATCCAACAATTAGGAATCTCAGCAGTGGCCTTTCTTATTCATTCTAGACTCTGATGAAGAAGTGTTAAGAGGTTCTGAACCATGAACAGATTTTTAATGGCCATCTATTTACACAAACTAAAAACTAATATTTAACTTACATGTTTCAAATGAATATCGAGCTAGCTTAAAGTGGTAATCATGTAAATTAGGTGGACAATAACATTGTTACTTCACATTATCTACAATAGGCCAACTGAGGGGTGGCTCGTTGGTATGTTAGCTGGTTCACTCACTCCAGCATTGTTGCGGAATTGATTCCCGCAACCACCAATTTGGAGAAAAAGGGGGGGGTGAGGGGGAGTTTAATGGGTTATTAGTGGTGCATGGCACCAAATACCAAAAAAAGAAACATATCTACAATATTATCACCAACTTATGTTGTAATACTATTTCTTAGACTCCACATAGTACTTGACAAAGTGCTGGTAAACTACCCATGGAAGTGGAAATGGAAATATGTCGTGTAAACTATCTCCTGTACTCCACAAAATGCTGGCAATGTTCACTAGGGAAATGTTGATTCCAGTAAGATAACATGCCGGTACCCATGGAAATGGAAATATAGGGAAATTAGAAATATTTTAAGCCATGTGCCTAATAGTTCTAAGGACAAAGGTGAGACTGACAAGAGACTACAAGTTTACACCTAGAGAAAGAAACAAGCTTAGCACCAAAATGAACAACCACCACAAAGTTTTTTATAAGAAACTTTTATCAATTCTGAGATTCAAACAGATAGAAACATCCCTTGGAGAGGCGCAAGCTGCGGCCTCTCGCAACAAAGTATGATAAAACTCAGATTAGATGTTTGTATATGTTCAGATCAGAAGAAAGAGAAGGAAAAGAGAGAGAGAAGGAGAAGAAGAAAGAGAAGAAAAAGAAGGAGAAAATTCACAGCCGAACTAGAGAGAAAATCTCAAAACCTCTAGTCGGCCCTTCTTTTATTTATACTCTTCTAAGATATACAAGGATTACCATTGTGCCCTCACTTAAGTGAGAGCCACATCAGCAGAGCAGTACATATATAACTAAACATAAAAGGACTGTACTACCCTTGTACAGCCGACTCTAACACTCCCCCTCAAGCTGGTGAGTATATGTCATATAGTCCCAGCTTGTTACATATGTAGTCCACTCTTCCCCGATTCAACCCTTTGGTAAACAGATCTGCCCATTGATTTCTTGTGTTCACATATATTGTACTTATCACTCCACTAAGCACCTTCTCACGTACAAAGTGGCAATCCACTTCTATGTGCTTCCTCCTTTCGTGAAACACTGGATTAGAGGAGATATGAACTGCAGCTTGGTTATCACAGTATATCTTCATAGGAGTGTCAATCGAGTATCCCATCTCCTCTAGTAGATGCTTCAACCACACCAGTTCGCATGTTGTGTGAGCCATAGCCCTATATTCAGCCTCTACACTGCCTCTTGCTACCACTATCTGCTTCTTACTCTTCCATGTCACTAAGTTCCCACCAAGAAAAGTGCAATACCCTGTAGTGGACCTTCTATCAGATATGGACCCAGCCCAATCAACATCCGTGTATCCCTCTATCTCAAGACTTCCTCCACTCTTATACAACAAACCACGACCTGGAGCACCCTTCAAATACCTCACAATCCTTAGGACTGCCTCCCAGTGTGGGATTCTCGGATTCTGCATAAATTGACTCACTAACCGCAAATGAGATATCAGGTCGAGTGATGGTTAGGTAATTAAGCTTACCCACCAGCCTTCTATACCTTCCCGGATCCTCAAACTCCTCACCTGTATCACTACCCAATCTAGCATTCAGTTCCATAGGTGTTTCAGCTGGTCTGGCACCCAACAACCTTATTTCCTCTAGCAAATCAAGAACATATTTCCTCTAGCCCAAATTAATACCATTCTTGGACCTTGCAACCTCTATCCCTAGGAAGTATCTTAATTTGCCAATATCCTTTGTTTGGAAGTGATCATGCAAGTAAATCTTCAACCTGTCAATTCCTAGTCTATCACTGCCTGTGATAACAACGTCATCTACATATACCACCAAGAGAATCTTTCCAGCATTTGATTCATCAAAATGGTCAACCTGACACTGTTTCATTCCAAACTTCTTCACCACTAAATCTCCCAAACCATGCACGGGGAGATTGTTTAAGTCCATAAATAGCCTTCTTAAGTCTACAGACCTTCTCACCCTCCCCCTAAGCAACAAACCCTAGTGGTTGCTCCATGTACACCTCCTCAAGAAGATCACCATGTAAAAAGGCATTCTTGATGTCAAGCTGAAACAAGGGACAATCAAACATAGCAGCAAAAGAAATCAGAACACGAACTGACCCAATTTTGGCAACCGGAGAGAAGGTGTCTATGTAATCAATACCATACTGCTGTGAATAACCTTTGGAAACTAACCGAGCTTTCAACCGTTCAACACTTCCATCAGATAAGTATTTAACCATGTACACCCACTTACAGTCGGCCACATGCTTACCAGGAAGAAGAGTAGTGAGGTCCCACGTATGAGTACGAGTCAGGGCCGAGAGTTCTTCTTCCATTGCTTGGCGCCACCCTGGAGAATTGAGGGCTTCCTGGACATCCTTGGGAACAGAGACAGAGGATAACATAGAAACAAACTGTCGATGGGAAGTCGAAAGGTGAGATACAAAAACATAAATGGAAATGGGATGGAGAGTGCAACTGCGTTTACCTTTCCGCAAAGCAATAGGAAGATCAAGGTCAGAACTTGGAGTTGGGGCTGGGGTGGGATCAACTTTCGGATCTGTCGACATTGACAAAGCTAGGGGAGGAGTCGATGCCTGATGATGTGTATACACTTGTCAGATAGGTGGTCCTCTCTCAGGTAGCTGCACTGGAGGCGAAGACTGGGTCACGACCGGAACAAGATAAACAAGATCCTCAATAGGAACTGAAAGAGGGGGTGATGGCAACAGAGAAGTATTCAACCTGGAGAAGAAAGGAACAAACTCAAAAAATGTAACATCAGAACACACAAAATAACGCCGAGAACGAGGGTTATAACACTTATACCCTTTTTGAGTATTGGAATAACCAAGAAAGACACACTTAGTGGATCTAGCATCTAACTTGTCCATTCCAGGCCAAAGATTATGAACGAAACACACGCATCCAAAAACTCTGGGAGTAAGGGGAAAAGGAGACAACGTGGGAAACAGAACAGAGAAAGGGAACTGACCTTCAAGGATATGGGCATGCGGTTAATAAGAAAGCAAGATGTGAGTATAGCATTACTCCAAAAGGATTTGGGGACATTCATCTGATGTAAGAGGGACCGAGTAGTTTCCAAAAGGTGACGGTTTTTTCTTTCAGCCACCCCATTTTGTTGAGGGGTGTAGGTACATGAGGTTTGATAGATAATGCCATGTTCCAAATATTCTTGAAAGTGTGTGGAAAAATACTCGCGGCCATTATCAGAACAAAGAATTTTAATATGTACACCAAATTGATTGCGAATTTCAGCATAAAATTTCTGGAAGATAGAAAATAATTCACTCTTTTCTTTCGTAAGGTAAAGCCATGTCATCCTTGAATAATCATCAACAAAAATTACAAAGTACTTGTAACCATTATAAGGCACTACTCTGTTTGGACCCTAGATGTCTGAATGGACTAAAGAAAAGGACTCAATGTACGACTATCAACTCTAGGACTAAAGGAGACATGATGATGTTTCCCAAACTGACACGACTCACAATTTAAATTAGAAAGACGACGCAACGACAGAACAAGTAACTGAAGAGCTCTAATAGACGGATGACCAAGTTTGCAGTGCCACTGATGAGGGGAGAGAGATGACTGAAGAGTTGTTGCCGAACCACCTCCATCAAGATAATACAGTCCATCAGCTTCATGCCCTCAATCAATCTTCATCCCCGTCTTGAGATCCTGAAACACACAAGAGGAAGGGTAAAAAGTTATTGAGCAATTAAAAGACTGAGTCAATTTACTAACAGACATCAGGTTAAAGGGAAACTTGGGAACATATAAAACTGAGGAGAGGGATAATGAGTCGGTGTCAACATTACCAACACCACATATGGATGATGTAGAGCCATTGGCAAGAGTAACAGATTGGGAAGTGGAGGACGGAGAAATGGATAAAAACACACCTGGAGTTCCAGTCATATAATCGGAAGCTCCAGAATCTATAATTCAACAGGAAGATGTGGATGCCAGACAAGTCGTACCTGTGTGTGCAAGGGTAGTTGTGTTCTGTTGAGATGTACCCTGAATGAACCGCTCATACTCATCCCGTGAAACACTCACCATCTCCTTTCTGGAAGTATCTATAGATGTAGTGAGAATCTGATCAGTGACTTGAGATTCTTGTCTTGAGCTACCACCATTTACAGCTGCATGATTCGCCCAGGTTGAAGGTGGGCCATGGAGATCGTAGCAAAAGTTGATAGTATGTCCCTCCATACCACAATGAGTACACCTTCTCTGAGTATTACCACGTCCACTACCACGAGCTCTCCCTGAGTCTGATCCTCCAAAACGACCACCACCACGATTATACATTCCACCACCACCACGACCATACATGGGTCCACCACCACTACCACGACCATGCTGACCTCCTCTACCACCACGACCTCCCCCTCTCGTAACTGCAAATGCAGACCTATCTGACATAATGGAAGTCTCTGTGGGTCCAACTGAAATTCTCCGAAGACGAGCAAACACTTCCTCAAGAGAGGGAAGAGCAAATCCACCTAATATTTGTGCCCTTATGGGTTCATACTCAGATTTCAGCCCTACTAAAAATCTGGTCACATCAAACTGCTCTCTCTGTTGTTGCTGAATTTTGACATCAAGTGTAAGAGGACGATAAACATTCAATTCATTTCGTAAATTTCTCATACTAACATAATAGTCCTCAAGACTCTGATTCCCTTGTTGCAAATTGAAGTACTCTTGGTATAGTTGGTAAACCCTAGTAGTGTTATCTTGTCCAGAATATAGTTTTCTTGCATGATCCCAAACTTCCTTGGTTTTATCTAAAAACATGAAGTTCAC